TCTCTCTCTCTCTCTCTCTCTCTCTCTCTCTCTCTCTCTCTCTCTCTCTCTCTCTCTCTCTCTCTCTCTCTCTCTCTCTCTCTCACACGCGCGCGTGTGCGCTGGCGCATGTGCGCGCGCTTAGAGACAGACAGAAAGAGAGAGGGAGCGCGAACTCTAGGATAGGCGCGAGGCTTTTTTTTTTTTTTTACTCAACTAATCAATCAAGCATTCAGTCAATCAGCAATCAATCAATGAATGGACAATCAATCAATCAATCAATCAATCAATCAGCGAATCAATCAATCAGTCAATGGGTTCTTATTTCTTTGTTTCGTTTTTTTTTCCCCGTTTCGGTTAATTTTTTTTTTAATAATAGAAAAAAAGAACACAAAATCAAATAAAAAATATAGGGGTGTAGAGCTCGAAAAGCTCTACATCCCCTATATATATATTTTTTTCGTTTTGTTTTGGGGGGGTTTTGTCGGTTTGTACGGGACCGTTCGTACGACTGTACGGCCGTCCGTACGGTCGTACGTACGGCCGTATGACCAAAGCCCCGTACGACGTACGGGGTGTTTCACAGGTTGACGCTAACTTAGCACAGCCGCCCAGCCGCAGCGCCCCTAGACGGGAAAATTTGAAAGGCACTGGCAATGGAAAAAAAAAATGGATCTCCCAGTTCAAAATTCAAATTCCGAATTGGGAGCTGGACGTGATGATGACCACGCCGTGGTCCATGCGGAGCAAGTGACGTCCATACTAGCGACGGTGGAAGCGGGCATTTGTAGCGGTTCAGTGGGTTCGTCAGAAGTCGTCAAGAAATTGTGAGCGGCCCACGAAGGTCCATTGCCATAGCCGCCTCTTGTTGCCGTGCGTATGTGTCGAGTAGAGCACAATCGGGGAATGCTGTGGGTGACTCCGCGCTCAGGTTATCATGGTCGTCCCCACGTTCGTACGCTTTTGTAGGCAGTTCTTGAGTACCATTGCAACACGTGTGGCGATGGAGTTCAGCGTCGGCGACGGACGTGCGAAAGTTTCTAACAAAGTTTGTTTCGTGATCGATTTATGAAAACAGGGATGTGCCTTGCATTATCGTGCACCCAGGCATAGAAGGGGATAGAGGCATGTCCTCCATCGACTAGCCGCTACACGATGGGGCAAAGGAATGGGGTGTGACTCTGCTGCAGGCGGATCGTGAGATGGACGTCGGTCCCATCTGGGCGACCAAGACGTTCTTCATCAAGCATGAGCACCCGACAAAGTCCAGCCTTTACCGCATCGAGTGCATCAATGCGGCCATGGTGTGTATCCGCGAGTTCGTCTCGAAGCTGCAAAGTGGCCAGCAGCCCCGCCCTCTCGACTACAGCAAGCCTGATGTGAAAGGCCGCTTACGACCAAGGATGCTAACAGACGACAGGACAGTCGACCGGAACTTATCTGCACAGGAAATTGCTCGCATTGTGCGCTGCTGCGACTCACAGCCCGGCGCCATGGGAACCATACTCAACAAGCTTGTTCATCTCTACGGTGCCCACGTCGAGAAGCAACCTGACGCCATCTTGAAGGCACTTGTAGATGAGAGGCATCCAGGGGATGTGATAGGCAGTAGGCACAACGCCATTCTCGTCCGCTGCGGAGACGAAACTGTACTCTGGATCACTCATGTCCGTCTAGCGACATCACTGATCAAGCCCCCAGCAACCATGACGTTGTTCCCAGATGTAGAGCCACTAGGTGAACTGCCCCACATTGCAGAGCCGAAGGTCGTGATTCCGTTCGGGCAGTGGCCGGCTGCTTCCACATTCCAAGAGATATTCCTTTGGCAGCGAGCGAGGATTGCCTACCTATGGTTTGACTTCTACAATGGGGCAATGAATACAGAGCAGTGTCAGAGGCTCACACAGACCATCACTGAAATAGAGAAGGATGAGAGCACAGATGTGATGGTGTTGATGGGAGGCAGAGATTTCTTCAGCAACGGCATCCACCTCAACACCATTGAGGCAGCAGACGATCCTGCAGAGGAGAGTTGGAGAAACATCAATGCCATCGACGATGTCGTCAAGTGCATCCTCACCAGCACCAAGTTGACCATAGCTGCGTTGGTTGGAAATGCGGGAGCAGGTGGGGTCATGACCGCCATCGCCGCAGATTTGACGTGGACTCACGCGAATGCCGTTCTGCACCCGAGCTATAAAGCCATGGATCTCTTCGGATTCGAGTACTGGACACACTCGTTGCCCAAGCGTGTCGGCAGCGAGGTGGCACACCAGTTGACGTCTAACACTGAACCGGTCTCCGCACGTCACGCCCTTTCTCTGGGACTGATTGATGCCATCCTATGTGAAAACAGGCTGAGATTTGTAGAGCATGTGGCCAAGCGGGCCGAGGAGACAGCTCAGGACCCAGCAACTCTGCCACTTATGGAGGACAAGAAGAGCAGATGCAGATGTCCCCAATTCATTGCCACATTGGAGTCATGCAGATAGAACAAGCTTGAAAAGATGAGGGTCTGCTTTGCAAGCGAAATGTACCATGCCAAGCGTCATGCATTCGTCACAAAGTCTCATCTCGTGGCTTGCCGGGGAAGTTGCCGCCAATAGGAGAAGCAAGTTATGGCAACATGTCAAAGAGCTCTTCTCATCGTCATGTCTTGGAATTGTTTTTTTGGAGAACAGACAGACAGACAAACAAACACCATCTGGCAATGCGACTACTACCGCCTTTTTCTCCTCTTGAACAGAATGCGACCAGATACCGAATGAACAAAGTTATCTTTCCAGTCGGGTGCAGCCAGAATGAGAATCCGATTCTTTGTGTTTGGAGAAAGACGGTACCAGGGCACAATCTCGTACTATTAGCAATTAAACTCACAACTCAGCATGATCATTATGTATATGAGAAAAGATGTTTAAATTGTGGGGAAAGAAACACTCAGGTTTTGCCCACGGGCCTGCCAGGGGAATCTATCACTTTTATTAATCAGAAGTTAGAACCATTTAGAAAATAATTGTATTTGAGAAAAATGAGAATGGCCTCTCGGTGGGCTCAACAGCCATGCCTAGCGAGTTGATTCTGCAACATACCCGGAGAAAGGTTTGAGTTGGTCAAGGTGATGAGTTGGTCAAGAAACGGAGAGGAACAAGAGTTCTCGAACCACACAGGGGGGAACTTGCTCCTGTTGTGAGTATGATCTGACTACGTACTACCAGTAGTATCTACAAGTTCGTGGTACCGGTCGTCTCAGGCGAATCTATCTGCCCATATCAGACTCTCTCCCTGACACTGTCTTCCCTCGAATAGAACACAGCCGGAGGAAATCCATTGATCTCGCTGCGGGGAGCATAGCGAGCAGCGCTTAACACACGCGCAGTGGACGACGGCGCTAGACCCTGCCACGTCACGTGCTGACGTGGGAAGGGGTCTGACCCTTGGTAAGAGGATTCCACGTGGGACTTCGTGGCTACCCTGCCCGCGACAGGTGGGCGACAGGACGGCTGATCTCCAGCAAGGTCGAAGAGAAGAGAGCCATCTTAGGAGCCGAAGTGTGTGAAAGAGCGTTACGACGGTGAGAGACTCGGACGGCAGAGCACAGGACAAGCCGGTGGCAGCGATTGATGAACGTGGCGATAAGAGACTCAGAGGGCGGAGAACCGGACAAGCCAGGGTGACGGCGATAGGGGAGCGTTCGGACCAGCGAGGACTCCAGGCAGTGAAGCACGACTAAACAAGGCACCAGCTCGCTGGATCGGACCAAGGTTAAACAGTGTGCGAGCGAGGGTGAAGGGAACCGGGGTAAGAACACGGCGCGTTTAACCCTATCTGGCGGGACTTCAAGCGGAGTGCGGGATCGGCCTCGGCCGAAGGTGTGGGACGCAGCAAAGAAGAAAGACAATCTAAGTCGGGACGCAGGGAGGAAGATGCAAATGAACACCACGACCAGGGACGGAGAAACGGTGGGACGAGAGAGACAGGTATTTCCTCCTCCCTCATCGACCTCGACAACCCGTCTTCCTTGACCTCCAACCCCCACCCCCCCCGGACATCCACATCGGGCAGCCCCCCAAGCCAGCAAAGGGAAACAACAATCCAGCACAGAGAAGGGACCGCGTGCCAAAGAGAATCGTCACACCTGGATAACGAAATCCAAGCTGAAAAAATAAGGAGTCCCAAAGCCAAGGAGAAGGAATCGGATAAGAGCAGCCCTGGGTCAAAAAACACCGAGTAACCAAAGAGAAACATGTTCCGATCTGAAGAGAAGAGTGAAAAGAATCAAGGCTGCGGGGAGGAGAGTGAGGGATCGTTAGAAGAGAGCAACTACTCAGAGGGAACAAACACATCACGATAGCGATCCAAAAGAAGGACGAGAAGGGATCGCGTGCCAAAGAGAATCGTCACACCTACATAACGAAATCCAATCGGGAAAAATAAGGAGTCCTTAAGCCAGGGAGAAGGAATCGGATCATAAGAGCAGCCCTGGGTCAAAAAAAAAAAAAAAAAAAAAAAAAAAAAAAAAAAAAAAAAAAAAAAAAAAAAAAAAA